TTCACTCTCCACCTTATTGCACAATGTCAGTAGCAATTTAACCATTGCCAATAGACTCAATGAAGATCGGACAGAAGTAGCTACCTTGTTATCTAAGGATATGTGATGGTCTATATGCTCATGTGTTTAATGCTACATTGCCTGTTACCTAGTTATACAGATATTTATGTCACTATATATGTATGTCTATGTCTTTCAAACAAATCCCCCTAAAATAATAATACATGAAAATAGGACGTGTATACAATAAATATATATTGCATTTATGTTAAATAATAAATGTACCAGGTATTGAAATACGCAAATTAATCTATATCAACTACTGTACTAGATGGCGTCATTTCACTAAAATATAGGTACTAACCTGAATGCGATAGCTGTTCTGCGTCTGTGTTGTTTTACACGTAATGTTATATATATATATACTTCAATACACATTTTTCAATTAGATAATGAACTGACTGTGCGTTTGATAAAATGTGCAACGTGACATAGATGGATTATCTTGGTGTGATGACACACTTGCCGAAATGTGAGCACACAATCTATAGAACAAGGAAGCAGAAATACACATCTTGGGGTGCATTGCACAAGTCTAGATTAATTTCGCCATTGGAATCTTCAAACTCAACACAACTTGTTACCATGACAATAATAATATATCATATTATTATCATGTCTGACGTATACTCCAGGTGTACGAGTAAAACATGATGAACTGTTTTATTTCACATAAAATCCTATCCGGCACCAACAACTACCTAATCAAATAATAAATTTAAATTGTTGCATTTTTGTTATCAACATGTCAGATTATCTTTGTTCCAACCGCCTATATAGTTATCTACCAGCACATATGACGAAGACTGCTATGTAATATATTAATATATCTACATTATTTGCATAGTAGACGCAAAACATCAGACTGAAAGAAAACAGGTATTAACATTTTGAATGTACAAAAAAATCAGATCGATTGGGTCACAGGTCATCCTATGCCATTTTCAATGAAATATTTTCAATCCAATCTGTAGTGTTTCTGTTGTGTATATGTGAACAGTTTTTTACGAGAGGTTTCAAATAAAATGATTCTAATAATATTGTTATTTTCACACCCACTGTTTACATTCCATATTTTTTATACACTCAAATGGCATTTTTTTATTTTTTCATAATAACTTTTCAGCGGTCAAAACCGTCATATATGTAGACAGGTCAAGCAATTAAGAGGTTCTGCTCAACAAGATATCTTGAAATCTCTACATTAGAGGTGATATTGTAAAAAAATAACTAGCTTGAAGAACATATTATTCAATAAATTAATGGTATTTCAATTGAACACATTGAGGGCTGGGTTTTTTCATTATTCATATAAAACATAAATTCTGCAATAACTGATTAGGTAAAAACAGAAGAAATCTTGTATGTACAAATTGCACTCTTTTAAATCACTCCACATATTGTATTACATATTGAGCACATGAAAATGGGTTTAAAATATCCTGGAATAAAAATATATTTTGATGACCCAAATGTATTTGCATACAATTTGCATAAATAATGACATCAGTCAACAGGTACTAAACATACTTTGTGGAATATTCTGAACATAACCCTAATTCACAGAATTAATTTACTGATTCAATTTTTTTGTGTTGCCATTTGAACAAAAGCAAGGAATGGAATTTACATGATGGTAACATCACCAAGCTCATAAATAACGTCCTAGCCCTTTCTTTAGCTTTTTTCCGCTCTAGTGGTTCATCCGCATGTGAGATATGGCACTAAAAATAGATACATTCACAATTGTCAACTGTCAATTAATGATTGCAAACTGATACTTATTTATAATGCAATCGCAATGTTCAATTGTACCACATCTGACAAAATCAAAACCATGTATCATACTTTCCAAAAATGAGAATAAATCTTCCACCCCTCAACACAACCACCACAACCACCAAATGTACATTGTAATCACGCCATTAACAAGTTCTATTCACACTACTTTAGTAACTTATTTACCATATGTATAATTAATGTTTCTCCATCATTGAACCCAACGTTGTCACCTACTACAGCAAGTTATATGTTATGAACACAGACTGTCGAGACATAGTTACTAACTTCAGAACACTTGAAAGACTATGGCATGATTTGTTGTAGTCCATTGTTAGTTCGTTTTCCTATAAACTTTCAAAAACAATTGATTATGCCATTATTCGGGATTTAGAGCGCTAACTTAAGTGTCTGGTTGTCGTCCAAGCTTAGTATACAACCTGGACCGCACTGATAAACTGATTAAGCATGTTTATGTCTTTGAAAACATTATGGATACTAACCTGGACCGCACTGATAAACTCTATGTTCATGTCTTTAAAAACATTATGGATACTAACCTGGATCTCACTGATAAACTGATTAACTGTGTTCATGTCTTTAGAAACATTATGGATACTAACCTGGAACGCACTGATAAACTGATTAACTGTGTTCATGTCTTTAGAAAACATCATGGATACTAACCTGGAACGCACTGATAAACTGATTAACTGTATTCATGTCTTTAGAAAACATCATGGATACTAACCTGGAACGCACTGATAAACTGATTAACTGTGTTCATGTCTTTAGAAACATTATGGATACAAACCTGGACCGCACTGGTAAACTGATAAACTGTGTTCATGTCTTTAGAAAACATCATGGATACTAATAAACTGATTAACTGTGTTCATGTCTTTAGAAAACATCATGGATACTAACCTGGAACGCACTGATAAACTGATTAACTGTATTCATGTCTTTAGAAAACATCATGGATACTAACCTGGAACGCACTGATAAACTGATTAACTGTGTTCATGTCTTTAGAAAACATCATGGATACTAACCTGGATCGCACTGATAAACTGATTAACTATGTTCATGTCTTTAGAAACATAATGGATACTAACCTGGACCGCACTGATAAACTGTGTTCATGTCTTTAGAAACATTATGGATACTAACCTGGATCGCACTGATAAACTGATTAACTATGTTCATGTCTTTAGAAACATTATGGATACTAATCTGGACCGCACTGATAAACTGATTAACTATGTTCATGTCTTTAGAAACATTATGGATACTAACCTGGATCGCACTGATAAACTGATTAACTATGTTCATGTCTTTAGAAACATTATGGATACTAACCTGGATCGCACTGATAAACTGATTAACTATGTTCATGTCTTTAGAAACATAATGGATACTAACCTGGACCGCACTGATAAACTGATTAACTATGTTCATGTCTTTAGAAACATTGTGGATACTAACCTGGTCCGCACTGATAAACTGTGTTCATGTCTTTAGAAACATAATGGATACTAACCTGGACCGCACTGATAAACTGATTAACTATGTTCATGTCTTTAGAAACATTGTGGATACTAACCTGGACCGCACTGATAAACTGTGTTCATGTCTTTAGAAACATTATGGATACTAACCTGGATCGCACTGATAAACTGATTAACTATGTTCATGTCTTTAGAAACATTATGGATACTAACCTAGATCGCACTGATAAACTGATTAACTGTGTTCATGTCTAGAAACATAATGGATACTAACCTGGACCGCACTGATAAACTGTCTTCATGTCTTTAGAAACATTATGGATACTAACCTGGACCGCACTGATGAACTGTGTTCATGTCTTTAGAAACATTATGGATACTAACCTGGATCGCACTGATAAACTGATTAATTATGTTCATGTCTTTAGAAACATTATGGATACTAACCTGGATCGCACTGATAAACTGATTAACTATGTTCATGTCTTTAGAAACATAATGGATACTAACCTGGATCGCACTGATAAACTGATTAACTATGTTCATGTCTTTAGAAACATTGTGTATACTAACCTGGTCCGCACTGATAAACTGTGTTCATGTCTTTAGAAACATTATGGATACTAACCTGGAACGCACTGATAAACCGATTAACTGTGTTCATGTCTTTATAAAACATCATGGATACTAACCTGGAACGCACTGATAAACTGATTAACTGTGTTCATGTCTTTAGAAACATTATGGATACTAACCTGGACCGCACTGATAAACTGATTAACTGTGTTCATGTCTTTAGAAAACATCATGGATACTAACCTGGAACGCAGTGATAAACTGATTAACTGTGTTCATGTCTTTAGAAACATCATGGATACTAACCTGGAACTCGCTGATTTTGTCTAGATCCCCGCCTTGGTAGAGTTATTTTAAACAGAACATCGAGAGCTTATCAATAGTATATGCCATTAGTTGTTAAATGACCTCGCCATAGCATATGGGCGTGCCAGGTTATATTGGGGAGCCTGTAATTATTATATGAACGTTTGATTCCCGGTATTTAATTTATGCCTTAGTTCATATTCAGTTGAAATAGTGTTATAAACAAATGTTTTATTCGTATTATATTGTGTTTACTTTAAAAAAAACAGTGAACAATAACATAGTGGATGGCGCACTGGTAATGTCGCAACAACTAAATCATAGGATGACCAGAATTCATGTATAATCTTGAAATACATTTATATTGTGAACTAAACTTTACTAATTAAAAGTTTGTCCCTCATTGGAACGTCAACAGCTGGCGCATGTCCTTGATAAACATTATGCCACAGCACATTATTCAAATATTTCAGTAAATGTGGCCACGTCATACATATATAACAAGGTATGCACGGTCAGTATGATCTACTAGTTCAAAACAAGTCTCCCCTGCACTACGAAAGATGCAATTCCAATTCCACATATATATTCGTATTTATCAATTGTGTTGAACGCCCACCAACCATTGGACCGAAGATTTGTTAATGATGTAATGTATGTGTATTGTAACAACAACAGTCAAATGACTCACACTAATTAATTTAATAAATTCTCATATTCAACATTGTAGATAAATTGAAACTAATCAATACATTTATGAGCAATCATTCAAAATTGATATATCAAGTCTTCATATCCTTTCATTTCTTCATGATACACTTTATCAAATGCCTCATTTTGAGCCACAGTGAAATAATTCTTCCAGTCGCCAGTATTTCCTATGAAAATAAGAATAAAAATACGACTGCATATGCATTATTCGTGAATTGATATGTAATATATTTAGCTTGAGCGTTATTAAATATTTGATCATACTTTTGATAACATGTGTACATGCCATTTTCATATAGACAATGAACAGGGTTGCAGGTGAAAAATGTTGCTGTATTTTTGTTTGTTCTTGGTTTTCAACGTGAAATAGTTTGTTTACGTAAACAATTACAAATAAATTGTATTTAATCCATTGAATTCCAAAGTAGAATGGCGTCTCACAGTATAATGTCGGAGAGACACATAGCACACAGCAACAGACTAGAGAATACATACAGACAGAAATACATACTGACTTACCTTGCCTTACATATTTATGCCCTTCTGTCATTATATTTTGTGCAAATGGGTCACGTTTAAAAAACTGTTTCATGTAATTAATATCACAAACATGCATAACAACCTTCATCTCTTCTTCAGACATAGGTCTGTCCAAAAAACGTGCGACCTTGTAATATTCATTCTTTGGATCCTGGAATATCATTACAGTTCAAGTAAGTGATCAAGATGTAGTTGACATTTTCAAATAGCTAATTTGTAAAGGACAATATTTACCACTTAATATTATGATTTTATTGTGCAAAAGTTATGCTTTTCCATTCTCTTAAATACACAATATGATATTTTCATATTGTCAATAACATTAAAAAAAAATGGTATACTGTTTCACCTTTAACATGTCTTCATATTTGATCCATAATAAATCTGGATTATTTTTATATTTACACCATTGTTTAATGTTTTCGAAAGGAGAACCTTTTTCAACTGCAAATACAAAATATGTTATTAGTATTAGTTCTCATGTAAGTGAATGTCCTGTCAATATTGTTGTATATTCAGAGTGTATTTATATATGTGGTCTTTTTTTACAAGTTCAAGGCCATCGGCCCATAAAAGTATATACATAAATATTATTAAATTACAAAAAGTTTCAATGTGCGATAAGCATAGGCTGCCAAACTTTTAATTATATTGATTTCTTTTGAAGTTAATAATTCTACAAATTTATGAAAAGATGGAGGATGGAAATAATATTTTGGAAGATAAAATTGACGAATTTCAGAATTAAATGGGCACACTAAAAAGAAGTGGTATTCGTTTTCAATTTGATTTGTATCACAGACTTTACAAAGCCACTGATCTCTCTCCAAAGTTCCCTGCCAGTTTCGATGCGCAGGCTATGCGAAGAGTAACGAAAACGTGCTAAGGTTTTTCTGTTGGAGTTTATAGTGACCGAAGTAAGATATTTTTTCCCGCTGTAGAGCTGTTTTAAATTCGCGATATGTCACGAGTTTCCCAAATGTACATATGTCACTTAGCCAATTATACTGCAAGTAACATTTAAATCTAACAGTAAATGTTTCCATAAACGTGCTTGTATTGTTAACTTTCTGACTGTACCACAAATTTTGCATATTACAAATAAACAACAATTTCTTCATATCAGTGATCCATGTTTGCTTATTTTTAACCCCAGAATCTTCTATACTATTATGGGGCATGTAAATTAATTTTGCCCAATATTTTGCACAGCGTTTCGCGGTATTCAGAAAAATGAGATA